ACGCCAGGGTTTCAACAATCTCCCACAAGCTTGCACGGTCCGATCACTTCACCTCCTCTCGGTGCCCTCGGTTCTCGCCCCCACTCACGCGCACAATCCCAATCCCAATCCCCCCTCTCACACTTATCCCCTCCTCAGCTTGATCTCGCCAGCGCGATGTATGATGCTTTCGAGGAATCTGTCGCTAAACTTCCTATGCCGCGCATGTCGGCAGAGTCAGACTCGGACGATTCCGAAGACGACTCAGTGCTCGGACTAATCCTTGATCGCTCCACTGCGTCTTCGACAGCCTCATTGGAACCGTTGGAACGGCTTGAGGCTCTGCAGCGGGTCAATGCCGACCTCGCCAAGAAACTTGTGGAAGCGGAGCGCACGCTGCAACGCAAGCTAGCTGACCATGAAGTTGAGCTGGAGGAGATGGAGGCGCGTCTTGAAGAGGCAAAAAGCGAGCTCAGCGCAGCGAAGCGTGAGGAGAAAGAGTTGAGAAACAAAGAGCGCTCAAACCAGACTCAAATCGCCGCTCTCGAAAGTGAGATTGCTAAGGTGCAAAAGACCCTCGACAACTCCCGCACGATGTACAATTCGTTGCAAAAGCAGTACCAAGAACAACTCAGTAAGTACTATACTGTGTCGCTGCACTTGACGTACTAAGGATAGTCGCAGATGAATCTGAAGACTTGCGCAACATGCTTCGCCGAAAGGATGAGGAGATCACGAGTTTCCGAGAAAGTCTCTCGCTTCAGCAGATGGAGACGAATAAGTACCTCAAAGAAAACGAGGCGTATGAAGAGCGCATTGTTTTACTCGAGCAAGACCTTGCATTTGCACAGCAAGCACAGGCGAGCTTAGACGAGCAGAAACAGGAGAACCTCATGCTCAAGGAGACTATTGACCGTATGCGGTTCGACATGGACGAATTACGAGCGGGGCTCGCGAACAATGCCCCGGGCGCCGGAAGCGGGACAAGCAGCGCTCCCAGTAGTGTTAGCAGGAGCCTAGGCGCGGAGCTGCTTAGTAAGTTGACAAATGGGGGTGGATGGATCGACGACGAGGATGAACGGGATTCGGCGGCAACGCTGAGGGAGCTCGGCATCGAGGACCAGGGCGACGGGACGGAAGACGAAGACATCGTACAAACCATCATCACTCGAACGAAAAAGGCACGTCACAATTTTTCTCTTGCTTTTACTTCTACCGACCGGTGGTACAGCGTGGCTTGAGTAAAGCCAATAAAAACGGATCATTCGCCCTGACGGAGAGCCGGGAGTATGCTGATGCCTACACACAATATGACCCTTCCCCCTCTACTAAGACATCAACAATGCAAACTGAACCTGTACCCAAGATTCTGGCTGCTTCGTCAAGCACCCAGACCGACGCGTCGCTAACCTCTGCATCCACATGTACGCAAACTGACGTCTCTATACCGCGCGTCACGGTGGAGGTGGAGATTCAGACCGAGGAACCTAACATCTCCCGGTCACCCTCACCTCAAGAGGACGACGAAGCCCTCGCCTCATCCTCTTCTACCGTCCTCCCACCTACCCCGAAGGCTAAGTCTACACCACTTGACCTTCTCACACAAAACTCTCCAACAGACCTTCCTCCTTCGTACAACCAGGTGACGTCCGAGACTCCGTTCCATGATCTCCTACATCTCCTGGACACCGAGGACCTGTCCTTTTCGCACATCCCTGATCCGCAAAAGCGGCGCGACCTTTGTATAGCAGCGGAGACACTGCGTAGCTGGCATAATGGCCTTAAAATGCCTCTCCACTCACCCGTAGGCGTGTCTCCCGAAGTGCTTGAGGAATGGCGCGTGCTCAAAGCGGAGGTCGGGATCGGGTGTAGGGTGTTCGACCGTGCACTCGAGGACGCCGTGGCCAGCACGGCCTCGAGTCGGCGGAAAAGCAGCCGGTTTTACAATATCTACAATACTTACACATATGGCAGCGACCGCATGACGGGCAAGCTGCCTTGGGGTGGGTTTGCTTCACAGGTGCTATTATGTGTCGGCGCGAGCGCAGTTGTATTCTTCGCGATGAGCCCGTTCCTCGCTCACCAGTATGTCGTACCTGGCGGCCCGACGTACTACGATCGTGCAGCTTGGTCAAGCTTCAATACTATGCATGCAACAGGCGAAGGCTTTTCAGGTGAAGGGACTGCGGCGGTGTGGAATATTCTGGGTAGGCTTGGTGGAGGAGCGGCTCGCATCGCGCGCGGATGGCCAACTTAAGTGTTGTTACCCAGTTGCCTCCCTTTCCGCGCGGCCGATTCCGATTGGCCTAGACATCCATTCTTCACATTTCAACAATTGTCATGCACCGTGCTTCTTACCACCCATCATATCATAACGTTGGCAAGCCTCACTCATTCCAGCTGAATCCCGCCTCCATGCACTCACGTCTGTCATTCCTGTTCCATCATGTGGCTGAGCTGATACGTACGCTCCTCAGATCTCCTCTGTGGACAGACACTCTTTACTCGGTTTCGTTTCCTGCTGCTCAGATGTGATCCCATGTCGTCACTCTTTTTCTAATTTGTCCCCCACCTCGCTTAGGCTTGTTCCTATGTTAATACTTTCCTCTATTCTTTTCTTGTGCCTAGACGCGATGTCGTGTGCCTAATAAGTATGTGTATGCCACACATGGACGAATGTCTTCCTCAAGGAGTTTAAGCAAATAGAGACATTCTACACGGTTCATCGCGGTGGCTTATCCCTTGAATGTGAGACAAAGTCACCGTTGGCAACCTAATCAGGAACAATCGTTCTGTGAAGTACAGTTATCACTGGACGTAATTTCTGTGCTCGCCGTAAGGTCACCAGTCCGCAGACGAGGACAAGGACAACTTGAAGTTGGCCAACCCGGGCCGTCGGGTACTGTATATCTATCGGAGCTGAGTCAGCTGATGCAAGATACAGTCGCAATGTGCAAGTTCGACTCGGACTCGACCATGGCAACTTCACCTCTAGTTATTTCCAGCGGAAGCACTGGGTCCCCGCTGAACAATGAGGCAAGTTTGGGAGTGAGTAGCGAGGTACGCCGTCACCGTTCCGCTGCCTGAGCCTTGTACGATACTTAAGGACTGCGACCTTCCCAGACCACGGCAGAGATCAGTGTTCTCCCCGCATTGTTCTATGCATCGTTCCTCTCGAAGGCCGCAAAGGCGCGCAAACCCAGCCCCAGTGAGTGGGCGCACCGCGCCTCTCCACTTTTGAACGCTCTGAACGCAACCTCGCCATATATGCAGTCCGCGGACTGTATCCACTCGAGAAAACACCTGGCGTGATCTCGCTCCTTGCAGGGAAGCCCAACTCTGCGCTGTTCCCATTCACCAGCGTCCAGTTCACCGCACCCCGCGCGAATGGTTCTGAGCAAGCGTTGTTTTCAGTAGACGACGACTTGCTCTCTATGGGCTTGCAGTATGCGCCCACGAGTGGGATTCCACCAATGGTGGAATGGTTGACAGAATTTCAAGAGCAGGAGCATGGGCGAAGGAGGTGGGAGGGGTGGAGGATTAGTGTGACTGCGGGTTCGCAAGACGGGATTTACAAGGGGCGCCCTGCTATTCCAAGCTGCCTTTCGCTGACCTATCGGTATCACAGGCTGTGCAGGCACTTGTGAATCCGGGAGATCCTGTCATAATTGAGAAGCCCGTCTATGCGTACGCGACGACGTACCGCGTTCTTGGTTCAGAGTCCTAACACGTACCAGCGGCGTAATCCCCATGTTCGAGGCACTGCGCTGTGAGATGATAGGTACGTCACGGTTTAGGTGTCGCTAGATGTTCTCAGATATATGCTGAGCCAGAGATATAGAGGTTGAGACTGACGGCGAAGGAATCAATTCACTATCTCTTCGCCAAGCCTTGGAGAACTGGCCTTCATCCAAGCCAAAGCCCAAAGTATTGTATACCGTTCCCGTGCGCATTCGAGTTGGCTCTTTGGATTTACTATCCAATGTTGATTGTGGAATAGTACGGATGTAACCCGACAGGAGCAACAACAACCCTCACGCGCCGCAAGGAGGTTCTGGAACTCTTGAGGGAGCATAATATCATTATCCTCGAAGGTAGGCACCACCTCTACCTGCCTGTCCGCTCTGCGCTACTTCTTCCTCTTGCATGTCTAGATGACCCTTACTATTTCCTGTACTTTGGCACCGCGCCGCGCATCCCGTCGTATTTTATGCTTGAGGCACAGACTGGAGATCGCAGCGTCGGGCGTGTGCTGCGCTTTGACAGCTTCAGCAAAATCCTCTCCGCAGGGATTCGCATCGGTTTCGTGACAGGGCCTGCGCCTCTGCTAGACGCGATTGACAAGCACGTAAGTACATCCAACCGTTTCATTCCCCCCCCCTCCCCCCCTGACGTAGCATTGGGTGCTCGCAGACAGCTGTGGCAAACCTGCAGTCATCATCCTTCTCTCAGGCAGTGATTATTACCTTACTCCGTTCATGGGGACGCCAAGGCTTTCTTGCGCACACCCACAGAGTGGCAGAATTTTATCGGGAAAAGCGCGATGTGTTCGAGGCAGCCATGCGGCGGCACCTCCATGGAATGGTAGAATGGAATACTCCAGAGGCTGGAATGTTTTTCTGGCAGGCTTCCACACCCTTACATTCTGCATGTGGCCGTGGTTAATGGCACATATCAGGTTCAGGCTACTGCTCGGCGAGGATGGCGACTCGGCAAGTATAATTCAAACTAAAGCATTCGAGGGTGGCGTACTCGCACTTCCAGGAACTGTGTTCTTTCCAAATGGTGCGCGCACGGCCTACGTACGGGCATCGTTCAGTCTGTTGGAGGAAGAGCAGGTAAACGAGGCGCTGAGCCGGCTGCGGGTAGTCCTATTAAAAGAGGGGGGTTGCTAACCGTATCGTGAGGGTTGGTTGTGAGGACAAGCAGGAGAATGTGGCAAAGACATATTTCGTATCAAAATTACAGTGTATCGGAGGCCGTCATTGTTGTAGTTTTCAAACGCCGGCTACATAATTGTTGCCGGGATAGCTCAGCTGGGAGAGCAACAGACTGAAGCCCCAAAATAAATGGTATTCTGGAGGTCCCGTGTTCAATCCACGGTCCTGGCATGATTTTTGTCATGGAGGTAGGCTAATCAGAGCACCCAAATGTTGGGGCTTGAATCTGCAGCCAAAGCGCCATGACTGGTGGTTGACTACCGGAAACGCCGGAAAAGGACAGGTGTTATTTGGGATTCTTAGAGAGCATATGAAATGATGGCAACGAAGTGGATCGATGGGGTCATGAAACATTTTTTGCAAGCATACAAACGTAGGCTCCCACTGATCGACATCGGAATAATCAACTGTCTATTCCCGAGGACCACCGCGACCAACACCAGCAAACTGCGGGCGGAATTCGCCTGGTGTGCCATCCTTCTTGCCGGCGTCGTCTCGCCGGCGGTAGTCCTCGCGGTCGCCACGAGGAGCGCGGTAGGCTCCCTCGCCACCCCCGCCGGGTCGTGCCTGCGCGGGGCGGGTGCGAACGGGCTTGCGATGTGTTTCAGGGACGACCTCTGCGGGGAGGTGAAGCCATTCGCGGAGGTATTCAACACCCTCAGGCGTAAGGGTGTAGTAGTACCACTGCCACGAAAACTGGGTCTTGACATAACCACGTGAGGTTAGTGACTGGAGGGCCTTGATCACCTCGAGGTTAGGAACGTCAAGCTCCTCATGCTTGGAAGCGTTGAAGTCCTTCTTCGCTACAAGAACACCCTCTGTGTACATGGATGGGTATGAGTACGAGAGCTACGGGGTTGAGATACAACTCGCCCTTGAAGAGGTTTTGGTAAATTGTACGCTTGTTCTCTTTGGAAATGATCATGCTGAGCGAGTGATATCTAGGAAGAAGGGGGCTAAAAAAAAGTAATCAGGCTGGGGATTAACTTGTCAAAAAATACAACACGCACTACAGCTATTGCAGCACTGGGTGCGACTGCAATAGAAATGGGTCAGCATTATTATTGATCGCCATCTGTTGATTGATTCGTACATCCAGCCCTTCTCTGCATAACATATCCACCCAGACAGGTTGGAAGGGCTATATATATAGGAATTCTGAACCGTGAAACGATACTCACATAATGTGGGGGTGTCTGTGTCCCTGCGGAATGCCTGTACGAGTACGATGATGATTTTTGGGTGGTGTGATTGTGATGATACAGCGGAGTTTCAGTCGATGTCCCAAAATATGGAACCGAACCAAACCGAACCGAACTAATTGCAAGTCGAGGGTTGTCAAACATTCCTTGTCTACCGTACCGTGACATGAATCGTTCACTTGCGTCTTGTAATGGGAGCTCAAACCTTCCAAGGCCCTCAAAGTCTCGTCTTCCTGTTTCGACTCAAAGCACTGGCCCAGCCACTCACTCGACTACCCGTCTCATCGACCTTTCTTCGCGTCCGGTAGCTCCACCTTCCACACCTCGGATACAAAAATCTCCCGCAGCTCGTCCTCGTACGATATCCACCAATGCAAAACAGTTGCCGTCTTCTTCTACGCAGGCACCTCCTTCTGAGCGACCACGAACTAAATCTGCCAACAGGCCGCCTACTCGCCTTCGCGCAAACGAACCAGAGCAAGCGACTCCTTCCAAGGTGCCTGCGATGAGCATGAAGGAAGCTATTGCACTCAAACGTGCGGAGGCAAAGAAAGCAATGGCCGCGCAGAAGGCTCTTGCAGCACGCGGCGTTTCCAGTGGTTGGGGTGGCATGGAGGATGCTTCGCCGACTGCTTTGGGGACCTCTACAACTGAGGGAGACGATCTTGGTCGGCTTTCCATACGTGAGACGATAGAGCGAGCGCGCAGCTCAGGTGTGTATCATTGGACTTCATCGCTATCATTCTTTTGACCCTCTACGCCCCGTTTGCTAAGGTTCGCTCAACGTCGCTTCACGCGACCTTCTGTGTCTCCCTTCTGCTTTATTCGAGATTCATCTCTCAGTAACGCCCGGAAAGCTTGCTAGCGTGCCAGATGAGCTACCGTTACCAGACAAACCCGGAAAAAGAGTCAATTCTGGCGCAACAACGTGGTATGATCAGCAAGATTTGACATTCCTCCGGGCACGGAATAATCAAATCGTCGAAATTCAGACTGAGATTTCTCTCTTTGGCTCCCTCAAGACTATCGACGTATGTGTATCTAAATTGTTTCACAACGGCTTAACATAGGATATATATGCAGCTCCAAAACAATCGTCTTGCATCACTTCCTGACAGCTTCGCCGATCTTACCTCTCTAGTCAATCTTGACCTTTCCCACAACGCCCTCACCTCCCTTCCACCCTATTTCTTTGCTCTCCCTACCCTCTCCAATCTGGACGTTTCACACAACTCCCTCGTCGCCCTCCCTTTCAGAATGCCGTTTGACTCTGCAACGAAGGTACCGGTGCCAAGCCGGCGCTCGAGCGATTTCTTCTCCGCTCCTGCGATCGCGAGGGCAACGCGTCCACTTCCGCGCCTCGCCTCCCTGGACGCCTCGCACAATAACATCGTTGCCTCTGCCATTCACTGTGATGCGTTCCCATCGGACCTCAGGACATTTAACCTTACGTCCAATCCTCTCGGCAACGTCACAGAACTCCTGATTTCGCTCAGCGCCCTCACTCAGCTCGTGGAACTCCGCATGCCAAAATGCAACGTCGATGACACGTCCTTCCCGGCCTCTCTTCTTTCTTCCGCCGATGCACAGACCTTCCCCAAACTAGCTGTCCTTGATCTAGGAGAGACGCACGTTACGCAAGCAGCTGTTGCTAGTGCTTTTTCTACCATTGTCCAAACCCTTGATTTCGAAGCGCCCATAGTTGATGCGCGTACTGTGACCATGGGAACCCTCGCAATTGCCATAGGCAAGCGCATTGTACGTGAGGCTTGGGAGATCGAGGCAGACCGCCATGTCCAGCGCCTCCGTCAGAAGCGAAGTGCCGCGAATCTGGGCGGAGCTCCCGCCGCAGCACCATTGCAATCTCTGCTTCAGCCTGTCGCAAGGGACCAATGGGAAATCGACGCGGAAATTGGTTTGTCCGAGGGTGCGCAGCGTCGTGTGCGAGCGGAGGTCGCACAACACGCGGCTGAGGAGACTGGGGTCGACGTACTCATCACAGTCTCCCCTCACACTCCACCTGCATTAGAGCGTTACTGGGATATACGCACGCTCACACTCACGCTTCCCCCTTCCACTGGGCGACCCGTACGCCGGGGGGTTGGTGCCGCTGCAGAAGAGGAAATACTTCCGCGATCGACTCTTCCCCTCGCACTGATCACGACTCAACCCTTCGCGGATACGTTGCGTGCTCTCGACCTGCGCGGGCGGCGTGCAGAGCCTGCATTTATCATACCCTCATGCAACGGTGGGCCTTTGTTACCCCGGCTGGAGACGCTCAACCTAGAAGGCTGTTCGCTAAGCGACGCCATCCCCGGCGCCAGGTCCGCTGACGGGGGCACTATATGTGTGCTCACGCAGCTATTTCCTAGCCTGCGTAATCTTGAACTCGCCTATAACAACTTGACGGGGGCTGCAGTGACACGTGGAGTACTCGAAGAGCTGTTGTTCGTAGGTAATGGCGGCCGTGCTGGACTACGACGTCTGGGGCTTTGTGGGAACAAGATGGAAGAACTCGATGGGTTACGTGAACTCGCGCAGGCAGTATTTGTCACCGAGGCAGGGGATAAAGATGCAGGAATCCGTAGGGGGTGGACGCTAGAGGAGTTGGATGTACGTGAGAATTCGATCGCAGCGCTCCCAGGCGAGCTGGGGCTGCTGCCCCTCGATCTATTCCTCGTGGATGGCAATCTGTGAGTTCACTTGGTTGCTTCGGATTTTGTGTTCGACCTTCCTTTCTGACATTGCACAGTTTCCGTGTTCCGCCGCGGCGCGTGTGGGAACGTGAAGGCACGAAGGGGCTATTGACCTGGCTCCAGGGACGGCTGAGAATGCAGTAAGGGATTGAGCCTAAGCATCCGGTGATAGCAGCTACGTACAGTACATTGCACTAGCTAGTATAGACCTAGTGCAAATTCTTTGAAGAATGGAGGCTAATCACATCCAGGCAATGGCATGGGTGAACCCATGGGTGTGTGTGGCATATGTGAAGAGGCAATGGCAAGACAGACATGAGGTATGATAAGGAGTCAGCAGACAATCAGATAAGGGACCTAGAGCAGTCTCTAGGTCATGTGGTACAGTACAAAGCATTAGAAGGCAAGTGTTACAGTATATGGCTGTCATGGTTACAAGGGACTGTGGCTCTAAGTGAGCATGTCATTCGGGGTCATGTGATGTGTGGATATATCACATGTTCTTGCCATGGCATGCTATGGTCACAGGGATTG